TTTTGGATAATTTTAGGTAAGTTCTATACTTGCTATTTGGACTCCATACTTGCACGTCTATAACCTCTACATATGGGCTATCCACCATAAAAATTTCAGAATCTATCTCCTTCGTTTACTTGTCCAAAATGGGCTTCCATTTTAGATGTTTCTACTGAGTATTTTGGTCATTTTGATCAAATTTTGTAATTTTATTTGTTCTCTATTTTTAGATCTTTCTAAATCTTTTATAATTCATATACAACTATTCTAGATAGTCTAAAATTGTTAAATAAAATTTTTTAGATTTTGATTTTCTTTTTATATTACTTGATCTTTATTGATCAAGTTTGTTTCAATAAATTTTGCTGAAAGAAATTATAATTTTCACATCTCTCTGTACTATTTACTTCAAATTTAATAAGATTAATATAATTCAATAATTATTTATAAAGTAAATAAAAATTTAGGATATTATATTAACCAATCTAATTATTAAGATTGAAAATTTTTATTAATATATTAATTTTATAAAATTTCATAAAAGAGTAATTTTAATAAATATTTGATTGAATTACTTTATTTTAACAAATAATATTTTTTAAAATATACGAAAATATCAAAATTTAAATTACATATTTATAAATATTTAAATTATACAAAATTTACCTTACATAATCATTATATAATATAATATAATTTAAAATGTACATTATGTCCATAAAGTATGACTCATAACAAAGATATATATGCACATATATTAATATTGATTGATCATTAATGTTAAATACTATAAAATATAAAAAAGACTTATTGAATTAAAAATAAGAATTATTAAATTAAGAATGTGACTTATAAAAATTATATCATTAATTAATGACAATATATTATAAATATAACTTTAATTAAAAAATATTAACAATGTAAAATTTTTAAATATTTTTAAAATTTAATTCAAATATATTGTATTAAACTATTATTTCATTATAAATTAATAAAAAAATTATTTTTATAATAATTAGTTTAAACTATAAATCAATATTAAACTCATATCTTTATCTTTATATATATAAAATTTGCACTGAGTTTTGAAGGAGAATTTGTCTTCACTCTTTATCATAATAATCTTTATATAATAATTAATAATTACTATTTAAGGTCATCTTAAATGGTTTAATTCAAATAAGTTAAATCCATTCATTTTCAATTAATACCTTTGATATATCTTTACCTTTAAGGCCGTCTTAAATAGTTTAATTCAAATAAGTTAAATGCATTCATTTCTAATTAGCAGTTTTGATATATTCTAAAAGTACATCCTTTATGGCAGATTTGAACCTTAATAGTAATGTTTATTTTAAATTTTATTATTGAAAATTAATAACTGATAAAATTATAGAAAAATCTTGAACTTTAAATTAAATTTGTTATAAAAAATAAAAACAAAAAATAAGTAAAAAAATATCTTCAAGTGAGAAAGAAATTGTATTTTATTTTGTATATATAAGGGAAAGTACAAGTTGTTTGTTCAAAAAAAAAATTTGAACTAAAATTCTTCCAAAATGGCGCCTACTATTTTAATGCTTTCTGAAATACGACTTGAAAATGTGGATTAGAAGATAATAATCATTCATTTGTGATTTTCTCATGAGTTTCAAAATAAAATTTAAGTTAGTAGCATGGACATGATTTTAGTCGATGAAAATGTGAAGTTTTTAGATTTCTTTAGTCAAAGTGCATAAAATTTTCTTTTTATTTACTTTATTTAATTTCTTCATATTCTCTCATTATTTTAGAATTCAAGAATTCATTGTACTGTTAGGAAGGATATTATATCACGTTATGAAAAACTACTCCATGAAGGCAATGTGTATATCATGAAAAAATTTATGGTAATTAGTCCTTAAAAGAATATGCGAACTACTAAACACAAATGGAGATTTGGAGGATACTTTATCAACTCAAAAAAATGCTGACAGTTTGAAGGTTGTAATTTGTTTTGAATAAATTTAATCGTCTTCAAATTGATAAATTTATTTATTGTCAAATCTCTAAAAAAAATTTGTATTATGTTTGATACATGAAGACTTTGAATGAAGGTGCTGACTTAACCACGAGTAATGTTGAAAATGAGCAAATAATTGATATCACGAATGTAGTAAATGAATTGACTTCAAATGAATAATAATATTTTAAAAAGCATTGGTTTAAATGTTGATTATAATTTAAATTGTGTTAAGATTCTCAAATAGTTTATGTTGAAGTAGCTCCGGGTACCAAGCAATCCTGCAAGATGGTAAAGAATGCAGATGAAATGAGTCCATCAATATTTGAGGAGTCACAAACACAAAGTTTAAGGACTAAGCTTTTAAAAATGGTTATCATTAAGAAGGAGTAATGTTTAATGTCTATGAATTCAATTTCTTTTTTATTTATAGTGACCTTTTTTTTTTTTTTTATGTTTAGTTATAAAGTTATTTGCTGATACATGGTATATTGGTATTCTCTACCAATGTTATGTGAGTGGACAAGATTTTAAATATATATATATATATATATATATATATATATATATATATATAACTTTTAAGTTCTTTTAGAAAAATCCTTAGCACACTTTGATTTAAGTCCTTCATTATCATTGTGAAATGCATTCTTTATATTAGTCAAGTTATATTAGTGTGATTAACATATTTACGTATTTGTTCTTGCAAAGTTTAAGGCCATTTTGAATTATTTAATTCAAATTACTTAAATTCATTTATTTCTAATTATCAATTTTGATATGTTCGAGAGATGCATCAACACCTCTTTTTTAATTAGCAGTTAAATGCAATTTTAAATTTTAATATTAATGATTTATTTTAAATTTTATTCTTGAAAACTGATAATTTGTATAAGATTAATGAAAAATAGTGAAATGAATAAATAAGAATTGATGAGTATATATATATATATTATAAAGGTCATGTATGTTACATTTAAATTTGTTATAAATAATCAAATAAGAGTTATATGGACAGACGTAAAATATTTAATAAAGATAAAGAAATTATTTATTTAGTGTGTATATATATTAACATATTTGTACATTCTTTTTAACTTTAATATTAACATATAGGATCATTCATGAAGAACAGTAGAATAAATAAATTATAATTAATTAGTTTATATATTTAAAAGGTCACACAACAATAGATAATAAGAATTAATATTAATTTATTATTTATAACTTTAATATTAACATATTAATGCATTTATTCTTGCAATGTTTATGACAGTTTTAAATTTTCATATTAATAGTTTACTTTAAATTTTATTATTGAAAACTGTTAATTGGTATCTGATTAATGATGAATAGTAGATTAAATGAATAAATTTTATTATTAACTTTAATTTTGATATTGCTATATTTGTTACGTAACTAAATTAGCTCATATAAAATTAATTAAAAAACTCTTGACTATGTGTATAGCATGCATACATTAAAGGAGAATATTTAAAATGAATTTAAATATTCTATTTCTTTCTTTCAAATAACTAATATTTTTATTATTAATAATATTAACATATCCTAATTAATTTTAAACTTTCAAATAGTTTAAATATTATTATAAAAATTTTATAAAGTTATTCTTATCATAATATTTGTCTATATTTTATATGTGACTTATAAATTTTATATTATATTAACATGTGTAATTTTAATTAATATAAAAATTTAATTTTATATTCAATAAAATTATTCTTCTTTTTTACTTTCTATTTAAATCTTAATTAAAATTTTAAAATATATAAAGTATATAAAAAAAATTTATATGAAAATTTATTTATCTTATTTTTTAATCTATTTATATTTGATATCTTTCAATATAATATAATTTTATTATTATTATATATATATATTTTTTAAATTATAATATATGATATTAATATATACTAATATATAATATAAATAAATTTTTGTGACATATAAATATATTTACTAATTTATAATTAAATTATTATTAATAATATTTATAACGTTTAGAGTCATATATAAATTATTTTTAACTGTTAAATTTATTTTAAAAAAAATCAAAATTTTTATTTAATATTTTTTATCTTTTTGTTATATTAAAAAATAATTAATTTTATATTTAAATTATAATTATTTTAAAACTAAATTATATATATATATATATATATAATTCAATAATAAGAAGTTAAATTATGATATATAACAGTAATTTTAGAAACACAAAATAAGTTTATTCAATAAAAGAATTAATATTTTTTATTCTTAAATTATGTGCTATATAATTTTGTATAAGGTAAGATATATAGTTTTATTTTTTCAATAATTTTTGTTTTAAAAAATTTTAAATATATTAAAATTTATTTTTTTATTATAGATCTTTATGTTATGGTATGTATGTATACATGTTAAATTATTACAAATTAATTATAAAAGTATTTTTAAACTTTATAGAATTAAATTTATAATTTTATAAATTAAAATAATATTTGAGTTTAATTCTTTTACTTTTAAAGTTAATTTATAAATATTTAAAAGTGTATTATAAATCTTAATATAATATATGAAATAATTTTTAGTAATAATATTAATATATACTAATTAATTTTAAAATCTAAAATAATTTAAATATTATAATAAATATTTTATACAATTATTTTTTATTTTTTATTATTAATTATAATATTATACTATAACATAGTAATTTATAAAATATTTATAAAAATTATTAAATTAAAATTAGGATTTTATTTTTAAACTTAAAGATTATATATTCTCTTGTAATTACCTTAATTACAAAGATATTTTTTTTAAAAATTACCTTATATAAAATTAGATCAGTTTTAAAATTTGTTTTCAAAATTATGTTAATTATAAAATTACATTATATTTTAGAATTATTAATCATAATATTATACTATAACATAATAATTTATTTGTGCTTTCCACGTGTCCCTTCCTAGTAATAGTATAATACTCCGAGAGAGACTTGAGGGTTTGGTTTAGATAAAAATAAATAAATAAAACTCATATCTTTATTTTATATTCTCACTTACGAAAAGAAAAAGAATTGACAGCAGAACATAGTCCCAAGCTCGCAAGGTTTGGCAGACCCAACACTGGAACTGTTCTCATTCTCAAATAATTTTCATCTTCTGTCCTCCGTCCGTCACAAAACTGGAGACCGTGGCAACCCACCCAAACCCAATATTTTGAGGTAACCTTTCCTTCTAATTACTCTTCTCTTCGCAGTTCACACTTTTTCTTTTTTAATTTTCTTGGATTTAAATAAAATAAACAAAGCCCCCAATCTACAGAATATCAGGTAAACATAACCTTCACAACTGAACCAGTTTTTTTAAATATACAATTTTATTTAATTTAATTGGTTGTTAATTGCTGAAAATTCATACAGTAAACGAAAAGCATTGTTCACAAAGAAGCAATGCAGTTGTAAATTTGTAATTGTGGATTCTCCCTGGACGAAGTGAGAAGAGAAATAAGGTATGCTTCGTGATCATGTATTGATATATTTTAACCATCGGTTGCTTTTGATTGTACTACAGTTTTCTTTTCCCAATTAAAATTCTGGAATGTTGCGATAGTTTTAGCTAACAATAATTAGAAACCATTTCCGCATTTGTTGGGGTTAAAATAATACGACTTAATACAAGATTATCGGGAACAATTTGAGATTTATGCGAGACCCTTAAGAATCACAGAACAGGAATATTTGAAAGGGATCTTTTTGAATGGTCTCAAAGAGGAGGTAAGGGCAGAATTGAAATTACATTCGAGGGGGTCTTTGTTAGAGATGATGGACATGGCCCAACTCATTGACGAAAAAAACCAGATACTTTGGAGAAAAGGTGCTGCGGTTCTTCTAGGAAGATCAATGAGTCTCGAAGAACAACCAAAATGGGGTAGGGAATCCAAGGAGGGGAATGGATACCGAACAGAGAACATTTATTGAATGAAAAGAGAATTTCAAGAGAGTCACAATAGAAAACTTGAACTTACCAAAGTTTCTCACAAAACCTGCTATATCTAGCAGGTGGTTCCCTAACAGAATTAACTAACTCATTGAATATCCTTATTACACTTGTACAATCAACTAACTGAGTCAAATGAAATTACAAACAAATCCAACTAAGCAATCTAACAGTGTCAACTACTAGAAATCACTTCTGAATTCTAATATCCTGCATCAAAAGGAGGCACTGAAAACACAATAGAAACTATACGGGGTACCAATAACGAGAGTAACCTGGTTCCAACAACCTATTCTGGGGATTACAATAGCCGATTCAGACCTGGAGGAGCAACTGGAATAAATGGAGAAGCTCATGTGGAATCTTCTGCACCGAACAATTCAAATTTGAATTCTACAACAACGGATAATTCCAGTATGAATTCTTTCAATAAATCCACTGAAAGTTTATGTTCTTGTCTAGTTCTCCTCCTATGAGCTAGCTTTTGAGAGTGAGTTATGTCCAAGTTTCTTAACACTCTTTAAGCACGGTTTTAATCATGCCTTATGGTTTGAGATACCATCCTTTGGAATTAAGTTTCACTCATGCTGAATCATGTTCATTTCTGTTTCAAACTTATCTCAATCAAAATGTTTCTTTCATATCTATTTTACTAAATGAATATGAAACAGAATGTTTATGTTGTTGTGCCTGAAGGTGTAGCAAATTTTAACCATTAGATGTGGTACTAATTATAGTGGATTTCTTGTAGTTCTGAAACCTTTCTGTTCTGTCTTAGCAAAGGTTGGTCACAACATGGTCCATTGTGTTGAATTTCCTTGGCAAGCTGCACCAACGAATAACAAAGAAGAAACTCAAATTAGCCATTTGATATAAAACAAATGAAAATTGGGAAATCAAGTTAAGCAAGGAAAAGGAACATTTACACTCCAAATTCTCTTCAAATCTACAAAATAAATAATCAAAAGAAGATAAATCACCTTATCAGGGCAACAGGACAAAAATGGTGAGTTTTGAAGGGACTCTGTCCACCAGAGTAACTGATGCTCACATTATTATCCGCCTCTCAGTCCAAATTTATCCTTTTCAGGCCCAATTTATTCATTGGCAACAGAGCTTTTGCTTTGTTAGTTAGTGTGAAGTTTTATGTCTTTATCCTTAGAAGTCTGCATCATGGACACGGACACCACAATCTCATTCATTCATTGACACTGATAAATACCCAATTTATAAAGAAAAATGCTCTTGTAAACTTGGCTCATCTTTGGATTATATGTTATTTTTCATGAGGTATTGTAAATGTTATTTCCTGAGTTATAAGTTTCATGTGAAATCTTGGTATGCTATGCAGTGTAGTGTAGACTGAAATATGGAGGCATTGAAAGCATGTTATGGGGATGGATCCTCTGATTCAGATTCTGAATCTGCCCCTTCATTTCCAACCTCATCTAACTCAGAAGGATTTACACCCTTGCCACCACCTCCTATTTCGCTCCTTGATCCTCCAAACTTTTTAGGTACGCTATGTTCTAAGCTGATTTTATTTACTCATTACATCTTGTTGGATAGGTTTAGGTGATCCATTAGAAAAATCAAAATAGTAAGTATTGCAAATTGCCCAAACCTCAAAATCTAATTTGATGGTATATTTTTTTTTTTTTTCTAAATTCATAAACTCATTCTTATGTTGGAAATTTCATGACTTTCTACTTGTTATTTATATGTGTGCAAGTTATATGCCTTTTGCTGACAACTATTCAACATTTTGACTGTAAAGGGCCTCAAGATCTGCCAATAGGTCAGACTAGAGTTAGGAGTTTCCCTCATGTTGATGGTAACTATGCCTTACACATATACATACCAGGTAAGTTAACTACTATTTGGAAAGAAAGTTGTCTTAGTTTGAGCATATTATTCTATGTTTTTTATATATGGTTGAGCTCTTGCAGAGATGTATTGATTTTTTTGTGTATTCTTTTGTCTATACACATGATAATGCTCTGTATTTAGATTAACCCAGTAGCTGGCAGATTCATGTATTTGCATGTTAATAGAATTCAAGGTGTATTCTTTTTGTTTATGCACATGATAATGCTCATCATTTGATTTACCTGGTTGTTGGCAGATCTGTGTTGCATGTATATGAATTAGAAAAATGACCGAATTGTCTTAACAAAATGCTTCTGATATTGTATTATGTATCTTGCTTTATACTGTAGAAGATTTTCTTGTTCCTCCCTTGTTACCACCCCTTTTTCTTTATCAGCAAGATGAATGTATAGTTATAATCTATAAGCAAATATGGATGAGCTAAAGTTGGGCTGCAATTGTTTTTGAACAGAACGGATTTTAGCTCACTTGGTATGTTGGATTGCATTTCCTTTATTTTTAAAAGAACTGAAAAAAGAAAGTACTGGGTTGTGTGAGGATGATTTATTCCATAAAAGGCTACCTAGAAGACAAGCTTACTTTTGATAGACATACTTGTAGATAGAGCTGTCAAAAAGGGCAGCCTGGCCCGATATGGGTAACAGGCTCAAACGGAATGGACTTATTTAGCCTAAGAAAAAAATGGGCTTGCATTTTTATTGCCCAAGCCTTGCCTTATGCAGGCTACGGGCTTCTGCGGGCCGGCCCGACAGTTCGAATAAATTATTTTTTGCAGTTTTTTTTCCTATTTTTGTAACGAACCATTTTTTTTACTATTTTTGTAACAATAGGCCATTATTTTTTTTGCTATTTTCAGTGTTTGTAACAGACCATGTTAGGCGGTTTTTGTAACAGTCTAATAGGTCACTCATTTTTTTTGTCCATTTTTGTTTTTTATTTTAAAATGTAAAAGGCCACTATTTCTTTTTTTTGTTGTTGTTGTTTTTGTAACACATTTTTTTATTTCTATACACACAAAAGTAAACAGTTGAGGCTTTTAATTTTAGGGTTCTGAAACTAAAATATGTTCCCTCCCAAATTCTCTAAAACTCAGCGTTTAATCTCAAATATATATATCATGCTGGTTGTCCAAGCCCGCATGAGTTAGCTCGGTTAAAGCCCTACTAGGTACCAGGCTTATCTGGACCAGTTCAAAATGGCCCGAGGTAATTTCGGACCTTGTTTTTTAGAGTCCAAGCGCACCCATTTAACGAGCTTTTCCAGGTCAGTCCATCGGGCCAACCTAGTTTGCCGACTCTACTTGTAGACTAGAAGTTGCATAAGATATCCACCCTTCCAAAGTATATTAGTTAATTTCAGTTTCACTAAGCCCTCAGTAACTTAAGGCAGCCATATGCCCCTTCGAAAAAGGAAAAACAGTTGATGACTGCCATGGAGGCAGAGCAAGATGTGCATGACTTGGCATTTCAAAGCGCTTGGGTGGAGCAGTAGGAGTGGAACTGAAGGTGTATTACTGGTATAGTCAGAACTGTGGACAAACACCTACACGACATCTATTACCAATAACAAGGCGCCTAGATGACAACTGGATCACCTTTTTATGGACTTTCCCCCATTGAAACCTGGAAGATTCAGATATATGACTGGATCACCTGAAGTATCTAGAATTATAAAGTTTGATATTCCTAAAATTGGAATAGAATTGTCAAGATTCAAATATGATGAATTTGTTAGTAAATCTTACTCTAACCTGGAAAATGATTTAAAGATACTCTGATTTAAAAGGCTTTGCCCCTCCTAACTTGTAGGTCAAGTTCAGCCTTTGCTTGCAAGGTTATCTATTTGCTGTCTTACCATACCTCAATGATTTCTTCATATAACTTCAATAGACTTACCTTGCTATTAAATTTGTTCAAAAGTTTTTCATGCTATATAATTATATAAGGTGACTGCCGTTTTTTTACAGTTAACATTCCATCTCCATCAAAGAAAGAACTAGCTGCTTTCTTGAAGAGAGTCTCATCTCAGGAACCAAGCCTCAATGTTGTTGATGTTGATGTTCCACTTAACGTCCTCTGCAAAAATGATGAGAAGCTAGAACAAATTGCCTTCGGAAGAGAATTTCACATAAGTTTGGGAAGAACTGTTGCAATACGTGTGCACCAGATTGATTCAATGGTCTCAATGCTCAGACAGAAGCTTCAAAATCAACACAAGTCAGTTTTCGTTCTTGTCTTCGTCAATTATAAAAATGGAACAGCATATTTGTCTCCACCCGTTCACCTTATTGTTGCCTTAACTTCTCTTTTCTTGAAGCAGTTATTGGATTGACTTCAACAAGTGGGAGGTTTTTATTAATGATGATCACACACGCACCTTTCTCTCACTAGAAGTTGTTCAAGGAGGGTTAGTAGAGGTATGATTTACGGCCCTTCCTTTTTTTTATTGCATCTCCTATGATTCTTTCGTTAAGACATATTCAAGTTGGAATTGCATGTTGCATTGGTGGCTTAATGTGTTGCAACAGTGGAAATCATGTTGTTGGTGATATAACTAATGGGAAGTGTGAAAAAGTTGCATTTGGAAGCTGTTTTACACAACGTTTGTCATTCATGATTAGGGTGACATGATGAAACTGAATTAAATCAAGGTTGAAACGTAGTTTATCAAAAGCCCCATACCTTAAATCTTTTAGTAAGTCTGCTTTTGAGGGCTTGAGGAAATGAATTTTTTCTATCTTTCGAGGAACTTGCAAAATAGGAAAAGACTAAAGATGAGAATATATGGAAAATACAGGGCTAATATCAAGTTCTTGTTAGTTTCCCATTCATCCTTTTTTTTTTTCAATGCACTGCTTGTACAATTTTACTAATTTCTCATTGTTTAATCAAGTGAATTTATTTCATCAATTCAGTTGCCATTTATGTGGAACGTGTTTTTTCTTTTCTATTAATTTCAGATAACGAAGCAAATTGAAGCAGTCAATACAATTTACAGGCTTCATAATCTTCCTGAATTTTACAAGGTCAGTTCAGTTTCATTTAGTAGGCATCAGTGAAAAACCCAACTACACTTTGCACAACGAATGAAAAGCATTGGTTGCATAATCACTGCTGTTCTATCTTCGTTTTTCTTCTAGAATCTGAACTTAGTACATTACAGGATCCACGTCCTCACATATCCTTAGCATGGGCACTGGGCGACATCACCCATTCCCTAAAGAAAGTTGTAGACGAGGAAATGAAGAAGAATGCTGTCGGGAAAAGTTTAAAGAAGTGTATTTTTAACTGTAAATTCGAAGGAGTTGAATGCAAGATTGGCAATAAAACTTATACGATAGGTAAAATTTGACAACAATATGCGAATTAAATTAAAGAAAGGGTTTTCCTGAAATATTTTAGGCTGCATTGTGTTCTTTTTTACTAAATGGTGGGTTTCTTGGTTTGGTGGCATCCTAAATTCCTAATCATAAAAACTTTTAACTCTATTCTCTTTTGTTCTCCAACAATGTTATTTTAATACCTAAAGTAAGTGTTAAGATATAGACATCATATCTTATGCCACCAGTTACACTTAATGTTGAATGTTGATATATGATTATTAAAACTTGAAAGAAAATTAATCAAAGTATTGACTAAAATAAACTTATCAAAATATTGGTTTGGAATACGACAACAACAATGAAAATTTTATGTTAACATGATACAAGACTCATCCCTTCTCTATCACTGTCATCAAAGAACATTGCAGTTGAATATGTAGGCAGTTGCACAAAGCACATAAGATAATGTGATAGATGAAAAATTAATCAGCAATGCCTAATATCTCGTAACTTCACTAATAATGCACATTTCAATCCCATTATTGAAAATATTTTATTAATATTAAAATAAATTAAAAAAGAATAATTCTAGTATATAAATTTTTACAAAGTTGTCCATTTTATTAATGTTATAGGAAAAGGTGGCAAGTTAATATGCACCATTTTAGTGTAAAAATAAAGGTGACAAATGTGACATTGAGGACTGATCCATTGAATTTATGGCCGTAGTATGCAGTAAGATTTGTTTATTTTGTTTTAACTTGTTGCAGGGCATGAGGCAATATATTTTAAGCGTCAAGATTGCAAGATTGTAATGTTAAGATATGATAGAAAACTATGTGCATAATACTCAGATTTGTAGTGTCAACGAATTAATCAATACCATTTCAACGTAGCAAGAAGCCTAATGTTAAGAGATAATCAATATTCTGCTATAGTCACACTTTATCAATACAATTTTAGAAAGAAGTATAATCTTAACAGAAGCTAAAAAGTGTCGAAAATTTTAAAAAATAATAAAGTAGTTATAGCCACAAATCACACATAGAAAGAAAATATCAAGAATAAAATTGATTTAGAAATATTTTGTTGATGAAATAAAATTGTTAAGTTTTAGAAATATTTTGTTAATATAATTTTTATTTAATAAAAAATTTTAAAATAATTTTTTAAAATGTATGTTAAAAAATTATATATTTATATTAGCATCTAATGTATTAATAGTATATATTGATATATTTACCAACAAATATATTTGTCGGTATAGTATATTATATTATTAGTATAAACTGATGATATTTATACTAACAGATTTATTTCCATTACAAATTATAATACTAACCAAAATTTTTTTATTTTAAATTGTTAACAAATAACAACTTTTTTAGTGGGTAAGATAAATATTGCGTGGTTCATGTAGAATTTTTGGGAAACAAGCAAAGGAAAAGAGTTGTTGAAGCTTGAAGGCATGAACTTGTATATATGGAAAAGCTTGTTTAATATTAAAAAATGTTAATTTTAATTTTTAGGATTAAGTTTAAATAATTAACAAAATAATTATGAATAAAATTATATTATTTTAATTAATAAAATAATCAATATAAAAAATATTCTATACATCGATTATTTTTAGAATCAAGATAGAAAGTACTTCTTAAATCAATTTAAAAAACAATTGAGATATAAAATATATTTTTTTACATCAATTTTAAAATAATAAATGTATAATTTATATTGTGCATCAATTCTTAAAATAACCAACATAGAATATATTTTTTATATCAGTTATTTAGCAATCAATGTAAAAAATTCTCTAATTTTTTTACTTTTATTGTCATAAACTTTAAAATTACATAAATTTTAATAAAAGACTCTGATTTATACAAATTGAATATTTATTTTTTTAATTTTTTAAAATTTATTTAACAACTCATGTAACTATTTCTATTTTATAGAACTCTAATATTTTTTTATTTTTTTTATATTAGGTGAGATATTATTAAATTGGTTATTTATTCACCAATATAAAAGTTGGTTGTAGAAAACTTTTGTATTAATGAATAAAATTTATTATTTTAAATAATTTAAATTTATATTAAAATTGAGGTTTACAAAATGGAATAATAATATCCGAATACAAGTGGTCGTTGATCGATGGCATTAGCTTAGCCACAAGTGTGTGCCACTCAATTATTTGTAGGCCACACGCAAATAATTAGACCATAAAGACAGAAAGATATATATTTAGAGAGCACAGAGCTTCCTTGGTTTAACGAACTATTGGAAGGCATGCGAACAATTTGACGCATTTCGATCTTATCAGTGTCAACTATTGTTTCCTTCCTTCATTCATTCTGAAGCAAACTATTTTTATTTGTAATTTCTTTTATTAGTTTTATCAAACAAGTCGGATTATTTTGCATACTTTTATCTTCAAATATACGCCTGTTTAATATTTTGTCATACAAAATTTAAGAAAACTATTAAATAATCACTATAAAAAATATAATTTAATTAGTTAAAACATTTTCAAATAATAAAATTATTATATTATATTGATATTTTATTATTCCATTTAATAAAACTATCCAAAGATGAAAATAAAATTAAAATATTATATTTTCTTATTTTTAAATAACAGATAAATAAACTAAATATGTTTTACTTTTTTCATATTAATAGATATTTTGAAACCAAAGTAACAACTTCAAGTATTATTAAACTTATAAATAATGTTATTTGCGGATAAGTTTATTATCACTTCAAAATATTTATTTGTATATTTTTTTAAAAATTATACATAAAATATTTTTATTATTAATTAAATTATTATTAATAATATTTAAATAAAAATTAAAATAAAAAGTGTTAATAAATATATAAGATTGATAATAAAAATTTTCAATATTGACATGTAACTAAATATATCACTGAAAAATATTTTAAAAAATATATATTTTATTATTAGGAAAATTTTATCAAAAATAAAAATATATAAATTTTAATTTAATAAATTTTATTTATACTTTTATAATTTGTAATAAATTTTAATAAAAGCTAAAAATATAATTTAAAATATATATTAAAATATGTATTTATGAGATTCCTCTTCTATACATTACCTATTATTAATTAATATGCAGCTATGGATGTTACGAGGTAGAGAGAAGTGGGCATGGCTTTTAAATTTTTTTAAGATTAAACTTTTATTTTAGTCTCTAAAATAATAAATGTTACACATTTAATCTTTAAAATTTTAAAAATATTATATTAATTTCTGACTTTTGTCTATATCCACCATTTTAGTTTATTAAGTCACATAAAGCTATTAAAAAAAGTTGAGAGCGCGAAAACTAAAAATGCGAATAAATTGAATGCTAGAGATTTTTATGATTGGTGTCAATTCAATTTCATTATTTGGATCTAAATTGAAAGAGCAAAAATATCTGTTGCGAAAGAAGAGGAGTTCATGATGAAACTTTAGAAGTTAAAAATTACAAACAACTTGAATGGTGGTTAACAATGACGATTTTTATAATAGAAAGATGAGTACATAAAAAGTTAAAAAAAGAAAGAAAGAAAGAAAAAACTGAGAATTATATATTACCCAATGACAATATACATATCTTTGTTAACCAAAAAACTTTGCCAATAAACAAATCTACTTGCTCACATTTTCAAATTACTTCCAGCATAATTTGAGAAAATATCTTACTTTATTTATATTATTTTTAAATGTATTTTATTTTAGTTTAAAAATTATTTATTTTAATTATAATTATTTATTTTTATGTTGTTTTCAAGTATTTAATATATTTTGTAGATTTTATTTATAAAATATTATTTCTTATATTTATTATTTCAAAGACTAATCATTTTTTATTGAATATATATATTTTTATATCGTCTCAATAAAATCTTTAATTAAACTCTATTGCATGTATAATTACAATTATAATTATAATTTTATTTTATATATAAATAATTAATATTATATATATATATATATATATATATAAATATAATTTCTCCAAATTTAAAAGATTGAATTCAACTTTTGTTATCCATTTGAATTCTTCACGGAACATTTTCGCTTAATGAGAAAATACAAGTAATTAAAAATGATGTCAAATATTTTGTTTTTTTTCTTTGTTGAAGTATTTTTTGCGTGCACACAAAAAATTGTATGCCGAGATTCAAATGGTCGACGTGCAATTTCGTGTATCTATCTTTCCATTGGTCGAAAACAAAAACTGAGATTTGGGTTGCCACTGTCCACGAGGCCCCATAGTAACACACACAACACAACCATTATGGCTACGTTGGCACAACCGTGTTCTTCATGGACCCGCGGTTCCATTCCTATTGGGAAGCGCATCCCACGACGTCGTTTCAGCAGCAGAACCAGCCTCACACACATGCGCCTCAACCCCCAGGCTGCTCTGGTCCAAGCAGTGCCTTCAAGCACACTTTCTTCACCCAGAGATGGCTCCTCTCAGGTCCTGACCCTCCCAGTGGACCGTGCCAATGAGTTGCAAGCCGAGGCCAGAGCCATGGCTCGTGCTTCCAATGCCACTCTCTACACCCCCCAACTCGTTGCCTCCAAATATGGGTCCCAACCCTTCAAGGTTTTCCCTTCCACCCAATCTTGGACACCCTTTTGGGAGATATTTTGTGGTTATGTCTTGGTTTTTGAGAATTGATTAGACCACTTTTTTGTGTTAGGTGGTTCAAAGGACCATTGAGATTCTGGTTGCCTTGGGTTCTTTTGGGCTGAAGCTATTGTTGGACCAGAGGAATGGAGTGCTTGATCAGAATAGAAGAGTTCGTGCAGCTGAGCTCAGGACCATATTCACCCGGCTTGGTCCAACTTTTGTGAAATTGGGTCAGGGGTTGTCCACCAGGCCTGACATATGCCCACCAGAGTATTTGGAGGAGCTTTCTGAGCTTCAAGTATTGTGTTCTCTTCCTTTTGACTCATTTTCATTAGTTGTAGTTGGTTAGTGTAGCCTTTTTCAGTTTCAAAAAAAATATTCTAGAGCATGTTTCAGACGTTTATTAGCTTAGACTCAGTGATTAGGGAAAACTAAAATCTGATATTTACTTATTACCGACAAATATATATATATATATTACACAATGGACAGAGTCAGTAACGGAACATAATGATTCTAACTAAGCCTCAATTAGTTACAGTTAACCTCTTAATGAAACACAAGTGACACTAGCTAATCAATTAGAGGTAATATAGTATAATAGAGAGTTAGAGACATTTTAACAAGTGCAAAGAGTAGAATTTTGATGATTGATAAAGATAATTTGTTTAAAATAATTAATCGCTGGTTTTGTAAAGGCAATCTCATATGCCTCAGCTTTTAGCTTATGGAAATAAGCCCAAACAGCTTATGTGGTTTCAATTCAATAGCTGTTTCAATAAGCTTTACAAATTATAAGTGTTTAATGCAGCTGATAAACCCAAATAAACTGAAAATAAATCCATCCAAATTGGGCCTAAGTGAGAAATTTGACTGGCTCTGTGACTGATTTCAATATGCTGCATTGCTCTTTGCTGCTTTTTTTATTTATAATATATAGGTTATTGTTGGACATTATCTAAGTTAATGCAATTCGGTGAAAATTTATTCCCTGAGTTTAGTGTAGGATGGTATATGCCCTTTATTATAAATTTTTTTTGTGAAGATTTGTCTTAAGGAATTAAAAGCATGAGTAGTTTTGATAGTTTTCTGTTAGCACACCACCCATTCAAAAAGTTTACAGCAGGAAGAAGAGTGGTAACAGAATACTAGAGCCACATGGAATTATTACTTATTTATAATAATTGCCTGATGGATAATTAATTAAATTAGTGGGGGCTGGCATTAAGAGGCAGAGATTGTAACTGTCCATAAGAGAGCAAGAGAGATTGTATTGTAACTCTCCAAATCTTAAAGACAATAAATTATAATAAAAAGTGGCCTTGTATAATAGAATGGAGGGAGAGTTAGTGAGGTGCTTGGAATTGAAAATTACAGTAGTGGGAGAGTTCAGGTCTCTCCAATACCTGTGAGGGATACTTCCTGTTTTTCTGTATTCTTCAACTCTAACTGAGTTCACATGTCAATCTGATAGTGAGCTATAGTTTGAAGTTTGTCTTGACTCTTTAATATATTTTCAAGTTTTTTCCTATCATTTCTGAGCTAATTCTATTATTGTCACACTGTACCAGGATGGTTTGCCTACATTTCCTGATGAGGAGGCCTTTGCATGCATTGAGAAAGAACTGGGACTATCTCTTGACTCCATCTTCTCTTCTATATCACCATCACCCATAGCAGCAGCTAGTTTGGGTCAAGTTTATAAAGCTCAGTTGAAGTATTCTGGGAAACTCGTGGCTGTGAAGGTGCAGCGCCCTGGTATTGAGGAAGCTATAGGATTGGATTTCTACTTGATAAGAGGTCTAGGGCTTTTCATTAATAAATACGTGGACATAATCACCAGTGATGTTGTTGCACTTATTGATGAATTTGCACGTAGAGTTTTTCAGGAACTCAACTATGTGCAGGTTAGTTCGTCAATCTTAACCATGCTTGGTGGCTTTTTCATATTTTTTCTCATTTTTTAATTGGTGATTTCAAGCAAAAATTTAAAAAGGACCTAACATTTAATTCTTTTCCAATGACTAATGTTCAGACAAAATCATTGAATCTAATATTTTGTAATGTTCTTCACTTAGTGTGTTATGTTCCCTCTGTTAACAATAAGACTACATATTTGTAAATCATATATGATTCTTTTTCAGGATTGAATGTAAATTTTGACAGGTTCCTGCAGGAGGGACAAAATGCAAGGAGGTTCAGAAAATTATATGCTGACAAGGAAGATATCTGTGTCCCTGATGTTTTCTGGGATTATACAAGTGCCAAAGTATTGACAATGGAGTGGGTTGATGGAGTCAAATTAAATGAGCAAGAAGCAATTGAGAGACAAGGATTAAAAGTCTTGGATCTGGTGAACACAGGCATACAGTGCAGCCTCAGACAGCTACTTGAGTATGGATATTTCCACGCAGATCCTCATCCTGGGAACCTTTTAGCAACACCTGAGGGAAAGCTTGCTTTCCTTGATTTTGGGATGATGAGTGAGACTCCAGAAGAAGCAAGATTTGCCATAATTGGTCATGTTGTTCACATGGTTAACCGGGATTATGAAGCTATGGCTCGTGACTACTATGCTCTTGATTTTCTGTCAGCTGATGTTGATGTGTCACCAATTATACCAGCGCTTCGAAGCTTTTTTGATGATGCACTTAATTATACTGTGAGTGAACTTAACTTCAAGACACTAGTGGATGGTCTGGGAAACGTTTTGTATCAATTTCCATTTAATGGTGAGATTATAGTATGCTTTTTATTGACTTCTCAGTTTCATCATGTACTTTTTTTATATTGATTGTTTAGTTGTTTCAGTGTGGGATAGATACACACTTTTAAAAAAGCACACTGATGATAATGTTAATCGTCTACCCATAACAGAAAATAAAGTGTTTAATTATTCTTCTCACAACTTTTATTTTCAATGGTTGAGGAGTGATGAGATTGCCTAATACAAATATTTTGTATTTACTTGTACCTGCCATTTATTGCAGAGTCTGATGATTTAGATTTTTTTCCCCTTCTTTTGGCAGTCCCAGCATACTATGCTTTAATATTGAGGTCTCTCACTGTTTTGGAAGGTTTAGCACTTTATGCTGATCCCAATTTTAAGGTGCTTGCGGCTTCATACCCATATTTTGCTAAGAGGCTCTTAACAGATCCAAACCCATATCTAAGGGATGCTCTTATAGAGTTGCTTTTCCAGGATGGGAAGTTTAGGTATACATTTCACTATCTTAAGTCCTTACTTCATTGGTTGAACATAGTGATTGAATGATTTTGAGTAAGTTTACTAGAATATTCATTGATCTAATCCGGTGCAGGTGGGGTAGACTTGAAAACCTGCTTGTCCAGGGGAGAATGGACAGAGATTTCTCTGCTAAAGAGGCTTTACAACCTGTCCTGAAGGTGTTATTGAGTCCAGATGGTGAAGAACTCAGGACTCTAGTAATCAAAGAAGCTGTTTGTGTAACTGAAGCTTTCACTCTTAGCACAATTTCTGATACATACAAGTCAGTTCCTGATTTTATGAGGGTTCTTGTTTTCAATGGCAATGCCAATGGACCCCTTATGATGTCAGAAGTTGAAATGCAAAACATGATTGAGCTTAGAGATCAAGTATTCAGGATATGGGGACTTCTGCAATCCTCTAATGATTTTGATCCAGATCTATTACTACCTATACTGCAGGTAAGATCCACTGTTTTCTGCGTTATTGTATTTCTATAAATTATATCTCTAGCGTGTTTTTCTTTTCTTATTTTACTGTTAGCAAGATGATAAATTGGGTGATCATAGTGGTACATTACAATGTTATCAATGGCGGATGGCAACTCATGGCAGAAACAAAAAAAAACTGCCATAAAGTTATGGCAGCCGCAATGGCGCGTTATGGCAGATTTATAACAGATATAATAAAATATATAAAAAAATACTATAGGTCAAATAAAATGATAGAAAATAATTAACTCAAAATATATGTAGCATAACCTACAATCTAAAGTATAATTCAATGCAAAATATGCAATTATCAAATGTCAAGTTAACAATAAATAAAAACAAAAATTATCAATTTAGTTCTCTTCTTCAACTCCAATATAATCCTCCTCTTTCTCATCCAGCAAGGCATATTCCTTCTCCTCTTCTCCCTCAGATAAGATTAATTTCTAATTCATCTTCTATTTCTTCCGACATCTCTTCATCTTCTAATTTTTCATCATCATTGTAAAGAACCATTTTCTCTTTTCCTTTTGCTCTTGAACATGCCTTGATCTTATAAATTTTTGCAGCTTTGATAGTGATACCACTTGATGGACTCTCTCTTTTCCTAGAATGACGCCTAGTATATGTTGTAGGCTCTCCAATTCCAAAAGTTTCATAATTTAAAGTGTTATCACCATAAAAAATTAAGTCATTTCCAGCATCCTCATCATGAGCATCATCATCCATTTTTCTAACCAACCACTCATTACACTCGTCAATGTCATTGAGTGTAATTGGATCAATTACATCTTTAAGATTGTAACTTTCTTTGAGTTGTTGGTTATATTTCACAAAAACTAAGTTATGTAATTTTTTGTGATCAAGCCTATTCTTCTTCTTTGAATAAATCTGCAACGTGAGTTTAATTAGAAAAATATTAATTAGTTTTTTTTTCTAATTTTTAGAAGAAAGTAGTAGGCTTGAGGGATGAGAAATTACTTGTTCAAAAACACTGCAGTTGCGTTCACATCCGGATGCAATACACGTCAAGTTCAAAATTTTGATAGCTAATTGTTGCAAATGTGGAGCTGAATGTCCATACATTCTCCACCATTGAGCTAGTTGCTGCAAGTACTTGTCTTGTGTCACTTAGTATCATGTATTTGTAGTGATTAGAGCAACAATAATCTATTTTTTAATTGTGATTCTCATTCAATCACTCACTCACCCATGTATGATGTAGCTCTGCTGTAAAGGGCACACAGATTTCATTATGTTATGTATCTTGTTTCTCAACTTTTACTACTTAGCAGTGAAACACATAATCTTGGGGTTTTATTTTTTTTAAGGACATACTAGTTAGTTGTGTGTAACCCATATTCTTAAGTGATGGTCCTATATCAAATTATACAATAAATTTGGATGCAAGCCTCAAAAGTCCTTTATGATTTAGTGGAAATTTGACAGTTATTTATTTGACATAATTTTAATGGAATTTTGTAAATATTTGATAAAAACCTTGGGAGAATCACACTACAAAAGCTAGCTATTGTAATTGGGGAATTCTAGGCCTTATAAACCCCATATAAGAATCTCATACTTCAAATGTGGGGCTCAAGCCACCTTGCAATTGGATCCTAACAATATTGTTCTTTTATGACTGTATATGGAGTAATAGAATCATGGTACTAGTTCATTTATCTTTGTGCGTCCGAGAGAGGGAGACTTGAACCATTGCCATCTAAAGGTGTATGTGATGGGGAAAATAAGGGTGTACTTTAATAATTGAACAATCTTCCTGTAACAAAAATGTAGTGCAAATTGCACTAGCCAAATATATAACAACTTTTTTGTAGCACTAATATGACACAAGACAAGTACAATACAACTCTAATACAAAGATATTTGAAGTTTTAAAGATTATAGCATATTTGAACACATAATGCAAAAATAATATACGTTAAAGATATATTTGAGATAGGAACACAAATTCTAGTATGAGACCCTGTCAGCATTAATAGATGGTCTTTCTGTAAACAAATACAAAGTAAAAAATAACAACAATGACAACAAAGCTTTATCTTACTAAGTGAGGTTGGTTGCATGGATCACATAACACCATTAAGTTCGATAAAAAATCAAATTCTCTGAGATATTATTTATCACAAGATCTCTATTAATAATTTCCTCCAAAGTTATTTTACGTGTCTTTTTCTCTGTTTCATTGGAGTAAAAATCATGCCATCCATGTTCTTCACTAGTGCCTCCAAATGTGTCTTTGTATGTGTCCAAACCACCTTAATTGACTAGTCATTCCTTACACATCCTAAAAAAAAAAATTAAAATAGATATCAGCATTTGAAAAGTCACTATTAGTCATTTGTTGCATTAGAAGTGATATACATTGAAGGATACCGACAAGAGTTATCTATCTATCAATGGTGTTTGAGTATCTGGCATGCATGTGTGACAACTAATAGTCTAATACTGCACTTGTTTTTAAGTGTCTATAATTCCTTAATCAATGTTTGAACATGGGCAAACATCATTAAGAAGTATGGTGATCTTGAAACAATGGAATGGGCAGTTTTAATATAGAAATGAAAGAAAAATTGAAATTAAAGTTCAATGAAATAATGTTTTAAGTCTTTGGTTGGATTGAATTTAAACATTTTCTTGTATTTTAACCTTTTTTTTTCAAATTTTTTATTGAAATTTGTTATTAGTTTAAATTTTATAAAATTTTCTGTTTGGTTATGAACAGGTTCTCCAACAACCTGAGGCACGCAGACTTGGGGAGCGTGTTATGGGTGGGATCACTCAACGTCTTGCAGCACGCTTTTTGCAGCAAGTACTTCGAGTGCCAACAGCAGCTTCTACGTAGATTGTGCATCTGTCAACAGATGTAGTGTAGATAAGGCATGCATTTTATTTATAGTTTCTGTGTTTGAAGATAATTTGATTGTTTGAATATCAATAAAAAGAGTATTTGTTGATTTAGTTCACTTTTTTCTTACAATACCTGAAACATAGCAAAATGAGTATGCATGAAAAATAACAGTTTGATTTTGTGATGTTCTACTGGATTTGCTGTAATGAAAGATCACTCTACTAGGAATCTATTTGCTAGTAGGTGCAATCCTCATCTTGCAGGTTAGCTTTTAAAATTGAGTTTGGTCAAACTCAAACACCTTAAAAGGTAGTACTCAATAAAGCCCCCTATGAAATAGGAGTCTACCGTACCGCTAGAGCTTAAAAGGGTATTAGGTAGCTAGCTAAGCTCTAGCTCTAGCCCTCTTCCTTCGAAATATGGGCTTTGGTTGATATTAGAGTTTATTGTAGATTAGATTTTAGGCCACCCTTAATTGTAAAAAAAAAAAAAAAAAGACTTGGCCCATGAATTTTCTCAATGCAATTAACCTGATTTGATGGATTTTCTAGTCAACTTATTTGGTCTTGTGGCTTTTCTAGTACAATCTTTCTAGTCTTGCAGCTTTCCTAATGCAATAATTTTTTTTTTACAATTTTCATGCTCCAAATGTCCTATCTTAAGCATAAGAAAGTGTGTTGAGATCTCATATCGATTATAAATATGACCAAAGTAGAGTATAAAAGTTAAAACAATTCTCACCTTATGAGCTAGTTTTTGAAGTTGATAAGAACCTGGGGAGAACCATACAATAAAAGTTAGTCCTTGTAGTTGGAGAGCTCATGGCTTTATAAACTCTGTATTAAAATTCTATACTTCCACTAGGACTCAAGACTCATACCTTGCAAATAGATCCTAATGCCCCACTGCACTCTACAATCGGGATGTCCATGCAGGTGTCATAAGTGGAAATAGCACCAAGACAATTCCGGAAAGGAACATGCAAGAGAATAATTCTGTTAGGGAGAATGGAGACAGGTGTCAAGTGATCCTACAATTGTGGGCAACCAAAAAAGTGCAAGGGTGAGGACGGTCAATTCAGGTATGAGGGATTATGTGTGAGGTAGCAATTAGTTATGTAGTATTTGAGAGGAGGAGAGAGGGGTATGGGAATTGTTGCATTATGTTTCTCCTCTCTATTGTCTTTGTAGTTGCTATCGTTGCATAGTAACTTTCTTCTTCTTCATTATAATAGATCCATAAATAAGTAATACATAGAGAGTTTTATGCACACTATCCATTTGTTCAATATTTCAATTCTTGATCTTCCCTCGTTACATTGGTGCTTTCATTCCCTCATGGCCAAAAACACTCGATGGAAGGACCTTTCCATAGATGTCAAACAACTGTCCGCAGATGTCAAGCGACTTTTAGAGTTGATGGAATCTCGGCACACGGAGTATTCTAATTGTTTTGAGAGCCTTGAAGCTGGGGTTACGTTGTTGCACGTATTGCTGCGTCATCGAAACTGTTAGCATCAGGTTCTAAGCAACCATTTCAAGTTTGTAATGTCAAACTTGAATTTTCAAGTTTCAATGGTTCGAATGTGCTGGAATAGATCTTTAGGGCGGAACAATTTTCACATTTTTGCAATACTTTAGAGGAGCAACGTCATACCATGCATTAGTTCATATGGAAGCAGATGTGATTCCTTGGTTCCAAATGATATCTAAGAACAATCCATTTCAATCTTGGATTGGTTTCACTTAATCCCTTAGAATTGGAATTTGGCCCATCTCCTTTTGAGTGCCTGTGTTCTACACTTTTTAAGCTGATGCAATCGAGATCGGTTCAAGAGTATTATTGAGAATTTATAGCTTTGGCCAATTGCAGGGCATTAATGCAGATGTTTTACTTGATTGTTTCCTTAGTGGCCTCAAGATTGACATTTGGAGAGATGTTATTGCTCAACATCCAACCTCCTTGTTAGGTGTTGTTTCATTGGCTAAGCTTTTTGAAGAAAAATAATTGCCTAAATAGAAACCACCTCAGCCCACCCTTACTAAAATTACCAACCATCATCCCTTGCACAAACAACCAAATCAATGAGCCTACCACCCTTGTTATCCAACCAAAACACTATAAACCCATCCAACCAGCAATCAATTAAGTTTTCCAATGTTAACAAAATATCTGCAACTGAAAAGCAATTGAGAAGAAAGAATGGATTGTGTTTCACTTGTGATGAGAAATTTTCACCTAGTCATAGATGCTCGACAAATAATACTATTATTACAATTAGAGAACTTGAAACTAAAACTTGACCCACCTGAGGAGGACAGTATCCATCAGATTCAATCACTGGAATAGGAACATCACCTTTCTTTTAATGTTCCCAAAGGAGCCTCCGCCTCAGGCATTGGTATTGTGTGATTTCAGGGTATTATCAATGGGGTGAAGGTTCAAGTACTACTCGACAGTGGTAGTTCAAGCCAAGGTAGTTAAAATTGGGATTTTACTTCAAATCATTAAGGGAAGTAAAAATGGTAAATCGAATTGTAAGATTTTATAAAAATCATATATACATGCATATAAATTCAAATTATGCATATAAAATAGCTGAAATAAAATAAAACATTAAATCACTAAAAACACTTAAATACTCCATATTCAATAAGACTATGAGGCACACTTGAAGAGCCAACAACAATGGAGCTGTGATTGTAGATGGGATAGTCTCAAAACTGCCATCACCTGAGCTTTGACCACCACCCATGTTTGAACCCATTCTCAAACAAGATAAAAGAAAATATGTCCTGGTTTTTTTTTATGACATATTGGTGTATAGTCTAACTTGATCTTCTCAATTACAACATTTAGAAGTTGTATTGCAATTATTAAGGAAGCATAAATTTTTTGCCTTATTATCTAAGTGTTCATTTGGTCTTACTCAAGTGGAATACTTAGGACACACAGTTTCTGGTCAAGGAGTAGCCGTGGATGCTTCCAAGATACAAGCTGTTTTAGTTTGGCCTCTTCCTACTAACCTCAAGCAGTTAAGGGGATTTCTAGGGCTTACAGGTTATTACAGGAAGTTTATCAAGGGTCATGCATCTATTGCAGTCCTTTGACAAATTTGCTCAAGAACGACAACTTTAACAGGGATGTTGCTGCTACTGCAGCTTTTGAACACTCAAATCTGCCTTAACTCAGGCTCCCGTTCTTGCTATTCTAGATTTTTCTAAGGCTTTTGTACTGGAAACAGATGCATCAGGGACTGGTATAGGGGCAGTGCCTAGTCAAAACAATCATCCATTTGCTTTATTTTCAAAGAAATAAACTCTCAAACTTCAGAAACAATCAGCTTATACGTGGGAACTATTTGCAATCACTGAAACTATAGCGAAATTGAGACATTACCTCTTGGGGCACAAGTTTTTAATTAGGACAGATCAAAGGAGTCTAAGGATTCTGGCACAACATTCCTTAAAAACACCTAAATAACAGTCTTGGTTGCATAAGTTGCTAGGCTATGACTTTACTATTGAGTACAAACTGAAGGACAATTTGGCAACAGATGCCTTGTCTCAATCATTTTGCATGGTGTGGTCTCAGCTAAACATCGAAATTCTACCTGTTTTGCGTGCTGTGATTGCAGAGGATACTGAGTTAAACAGCATCCAGGAGTTATGCTGCAGAGTTACCCCTCTTCAACCCAATTATTCCACACACGATAAATTATTAAACTGAAATGGTAAATTGGTTATTCCTCGGAAGCATGACTTGGTTCAGCAAATATTAGATGAATTCCACTCTTCTCCAGTTGGAGGACACTCGGGTGTTGCAAGAACCCTGACAAGGATCGCTGCCCAATTTCAATGGCTGGGTATGCATAAAGACATAGCTGATTTTGTTGAACAATGCTGCATTTGTCAGCAGGCTAAATCTTTCAATACACTACCTTTAGGGTTGTTGCATCCTCTCCCAATTCCAGAACAAATATGGGATGATATTGCGATGAATTTCATCACAGGACTACCCAATGCTAGTGGTAGATTGCCTTTCTAAGTTTTTATGAGTCAATTTTGGAAACAACTCTTCAGGTTGAGTGGTACTGCATTGGCTATGAGCACTGCATACCATCTCCAAATTTGATGGCCAATCAGAAGCTGTTAACAATTGTTTGGAAATGTATTGATGACAATCCAAAGATGTGGCTGAAATTGCTACCTTGGGCTGAATTTTGGTATAATAGTTCATACCACTTCAGTGCGGGTATGACGCCATTCAAGGTAGTTTATGGCAGGGATCCTCCTAGGATTGACAAGTATGCTACCGATTTGAATGATCCTCCAACATTGTAGGAGCTATTGCATAAGAGTGATGTTGTTTTGCATCAGTTAAAGGGAAATATGCAAAAGGCTCAGCAGCATAGGAAGAAGCAAGCTGACAAGAGGAGACGTCATGTGGAATTCAAAGTTTGAGATATGGTATTGGTAAAGCTCTAACCTTATAGACAAAATTTGGTAGCATTGAGAAAAAACCAAAAACTGGGCATGAGATTCTTTGGTCCTTTCTTTATTATCCAATGTGTTGGTCTGGTTGCATACAATCTGTTGTTGCCATTAATCTTAACCGCACAAATTCATCATGTTTTTCATGTGTTGCAGTTGAAGCCATGCCAAGGTGTTCAACAATCATATATTCCACTTCCTCTGCTTACTAATAACATTGGTCCTATATTCCAGTCACAAGTGATTTTGCAATCTAGAGTTATTCTCAAGGGAGACCAACGTATTCCTCAAGTTTTGGTACGCTGGGAAGGCATTGGTGCAGAACATGTTACTTGGGAGGAACTTATCTATATGCAACAAGCTTATCCTGACTTCAACCTTGAGGGCAAGGTTGATTTTAATGGGGTGGTAATGTCACGAGTGGAAATAGCACAAGGACAAATTAGAAAAGGGACATGGAGGAGAATAATTCTATTAGGGAGAATGAACAGGTGTCAAGTGATCCTATGATTGTGGGCAACTGAAAAAGTGCAAGGATGAGGATGGTCAATTCACATAGGGATTATATGTGAGGTAGCAATTAATTATATAGTAGTATTTGAGAGGAGAGAGGGCTATGGGTATTGTTGCATTTTGTTTCTCCTCTCTATTGTCTCAGTAGTTGCTATTGTTGCATAGTAACTTTCTTTATTATAATAGATCCATTAATACAATAATACATACAGAGGTTTATCCACACAATCCATTTGTTCAATATTTCAATTTTTATTTGATCTTCCCTCGTTATAGCAGGTTGGCTGTATACTAGCCCCTTGACTAGTCACGAGCAACATTGCAATGCCAGTATCACTGTATCACCACCTACGATGCTCAATTGCAACTGAGAAACATGTTAGAAGATTATGATACCAATTGATAAGAACTTTAGGAGAGCTATACCACAAAAGCTAGTTGATGTAGTTGGAGAGTTCAAAACTTTATAAACTCCATGTTAGAATCTTATACTTTTAACTCAGGACTCAGGTCCCATTATTAATTATGAAAAAATTATTTAAAAATTCTATGAGAAGTGCTACAATTTAGAAACAATAAAATATTTCGCATAATATATGATTTGCAACTGAAATTGAATTCATAACTAACATCATTCTGGACAAATTTCACAGAAGAATTCAATTTTCAAAATGAAATGAGTTATATTCTAGGGATTGCGAGCAGAAGATATTTGAAAATAAATATTTAAAGCTTATAATATTCTAGTTAGTAAGTCTTAAACTGCAATCTATTGTCAAAAAAAATTGGTAAACTACGGGTAAATTAGTTTTATGATAGTCAAGGTTTGTTTAGATCTCAATAGTGGTTTCCTCCTCATAATTTGCATTGCCACTTTAGTTCATTCTCATTGATTGACTTGAAACTATATGCCATACCATGGATCTACCCTTCCTACATGGCTAATTCTAATATCTGTTTCGTTTTTGTCGGGTTATTGTGAACAGGGAATACCAGATTTACATTCCTAACACAGGAGATAAAAAACATAAGGAGTTAATTGTCCAAAATTGTTTCGTTATCTTGTTCCTTTTGGATCCTCTAATTTGCAAGGGACTGTATATATACTCTTGTATTATTGATGCTGCAAGCATCATGATCAGCATAATCAGAATAATATATTTGTGTCAATTGGAAAAGCATTGCTCATGCTGATCTTGCTGTTTCTTTCTTTTTGACATGCACATAGTTTCTCTTATTTGGGTTATACTAGCATCATATGTTTGTTGCTATTATTTTGTAGAAGTGTAAAAAGTAACCACAATTGCTTCAATTACATAGTTACGGATAGACAGGCACAATTTAAATAAGTTCTTGTACGAAAATAAAATAAATGATTTTTTTATAAGTTAAAATTAACTAATGAACTTCATTTTAGAGGTTTTAATTTTTAAACGAGAATGTCTTTTAAACAGAATACTATAAGTTCATTTTGATTAATGAAAGAATTTATTTTATTTTATTTTGTCTTAATTCATATTAAGTCTTAGAATATGTTTGGAAAGGTTTATGTATAGCTTATAGATAATTGCTAATACGATGACCACGTGGCCATGGTATGTTCTTTGCTGCACATGGGCATAGGCCGCGTGTCCTGTTGCCGGTTTGACACACTTTGTGCTCCTTAATGGAGAGGGACACTGATTCTGTGGCCCATGTATCTTTGGTTCCTCTGGTGTTCATACTTTGGACTGTGTTGTGGAAGTGCCTCATTTAATTTTGTCTAGTGATGCAACAAGAGTCACTCTTGAAGTCTTATACAATGAATAATTAGTTGTATTTTATATACTTATCTTCCTTAAGATATGGGTAACATTTTACTTTTAGGATTGGCTTCTAATGCAATAGGCAACTGCACATCTTATGCAAGTTTTGGTTTTGTAACGATTCTTAACTATACACATCTTCCAACTTGCGTAGCTGTCAATATTATAATTATAAAAATTACTTATTGTAAATAGAATTGGTTATATAAGTTATGTTATTCACTCAACATTAGTATTTTTAATAGATATTTTTATAATTGCATGTCATTTAAATCAAATTATCGATATTCTCATTAAGTTTATCATTTAACACTTACAAAATAAATAAAGAACATTTCTAACGTTGAAAATTTATCTACACGAATTTAACTAATAGGAACTTTATTATTTTCGTTTTCTCGTGTACTAAGAACCACCGATGAATAGCTTCAATCAAAAAGTTAATAAATTTATCAAGTTTTTGGTTCGTTTAAAACAAAATCATTTCAATGGTTTTCGAAAATTATTCTTCTGAACGGATAAAAATTGTTGAAATTAATGTAAATGATGAAAAATGTGTGATTTCTATAGGAAAATTAGTGAAACCATCATATGGGTATAGTCCATTCAATCTAACAGCCACGAATCAATCCAAAATCAATACAGAATTAGTTTTTTTTTTTTAATCAAGCCAAAAATAGTTTTTTTTTTTAACGAATAAAGACCTAATGTCAAAGTATAAAAATACATATGTGCACTATGATATCTAACTTATTCTTGATTTTTACTTAGATATTATATAATGATTACTTTACACTTAATATTTAACTTATTTCTTAAATTTTTTAGATTATTACTTAATATGTGATATAATACGAAAGTACATGTCCAATTATACGGGTTACAATTTAAATACAGAAAAATTAATTAACCAGAATCTTCACCAATTTGATTATTGGTGGTTTCTTTAAGGATTATGGTGTTATATTGCATGATGGGCTGAACTTCGTTCAATGTAAAAATCACTTTGCTTTTACTGTGGTGAATTCTAACATCTTCCCCTTTTCTGCAAAAAGCAAAAAAAAAAAAAAACTTATGCTGAAAGTATCATATACTGTGAACCCTTGATTTAATCGAATGATTAAGAATGAATTATAGGATACCGGTTATTCAAGTTAGATTTATAAAAGGATACATTAGTAATTTTATATTTCTATTCCTTCTTTGTTTTTTCTTCCTCTTCTTGTTGTTGGTGTTCGTCATCATGTTCTTTTCATCTTTCGTGTTACGTTGCTATTTTTTTCATTGATTTTTATCATTTTTTCCCTCATTCAATTTGAGGTCATAAAGGAATTAGCAAATTGCAGAACTCTTTATCATAAATTGAAAGGTGGAAAGGCTTACAACTATGTGGTATAATTGGTGGAATAAAGTAAGGTTAAAAAGAACAACAACGTTGACTTGGATATATATGGATCATATATAGGTACATCGGGTTTATTAAGAATCAAATGTTGAAAGTGATGCATTGGAAGAACTAAGTTTGAACATTGGTTACTTACAAAGCTAATGCAGAAAATTGTGAGCTATATTTAAAAAAGAATCAGTTCTACATGTGGTGGAAATCTGGACCGATTTTGTTAGTTAACGTATGCTACCTTTTAGTAAAAATTATATCTGCATCTGGCGATGGTAATGACTAATGTAGAAGTTTGGAAAATAAGAAAGCATAGATTTAGTAGCGGTTGGTCATAGAGCCAATGTAGATAGTGTTGGGTGTTTATTTGAAAATATCCAATTGTGAAGTGAAACGATGTCGTTGGGTTGGAGAGTGCCACCAACAGCGTTGTACGAAAGCAGTTATCTTGCCTGCAAAGTTTTCTCAATTTTAAAAACTGGTGTGTTTCATTTGTTTGGTTAAGCAATTGAAGGAGTGTTGTCTTATCTCTATTCAATGTTTTTGTAGATAGTGGCGAAGTATTTAGGAATGGGTCATATACTATGTACATTGGTTAGAATAAAAAATTGATGTTTAGGGTATAATGTTTTGGAAGAAATAAGTTGCAACATTGGTCCCGTAAAAGGTCAATGTAGATATTGGCGAGGTATTTTTAAAATAGTGACTTGTACATTTGGTGGAGGTGAAGACCGATGTCACACAAATGTAATGTTTCAACTTTAATTTTGAAAGCAGATGTCCATCGAACTTATTTTGATAATGAAGGACATCAAGGTAATTTCATACGAAGTTGCTATAGTGGATTTAGATTTATTTGTTTTATGTTTAATACGTGCATGGTGTTTCAGCTGACATGCAGTTTAAAGAAATTGCCCATAACCATCTACCTTCCTTGACAGTTATTGCACGTCGTGTAGAAAAAGTGGAAGGAGGAATATTGAACATGGTCATTTGCAGCCGACCTTTGGACCCCCCTTATATCAACGTTTAACTATGAAGAAGATCAACGACGAATAATTTGAAGAAAAGTGCAACTACAAGGTAATTTTGTTCTTCCTCTCATCGATGACCAAAGTCCAGGATTTTGTAAAACATTGTATAAAGTTAGTTTGTGTTACACAGAACTCATTGTACATATAAGCAATGGGATTACATGTTTTGTTACATAAGGTAACATATTTTTGGGTTTATTTGATGGGGTCTTTGCGAAATATATGATATGTTGTATAGGCAAAGTACTGATTATGACCAAAATTGTTAAGTTCATGTAATGGTGGGATTAAACCTAGTATGAAATCAAATGCATATGTTTGTGGGCTTTATTACAAGTGTAAAAGTAGGTTGAGGGTTGTTGGTTTATGCAGTTATAGGGATCATATATTCACATTTGTTTAGGTAGGTCCCTGTCGTTAATTGCGAATGTGTACTTTAATTGATCAGGTCTATTGAAATAAAATTTTCTTACCTTGTATGTAGTGTATTTTAATGGCATCTGCCCAACGGAGCATTGGAACAGTAATTGGCAGATTGGATGTTGCTGTTGGTGAGGGTACCTTAAGACTGAAATCACCATGGTTTTATTTGCAATTTCATCCGCGAGAGGTTAGTTGGTTAATTAGGTAAAAGTAATGAATTATAGATTTTAAATATACAATGTGAAAAAGAAGTTATTTGACTAGTTTGTAATATAAATTTTGGTTACAGCATATGCCAAAAATTCCAGCGATTTTTTTCAGATCATGGTTTGATAGAATTCCTCAAATTATTTCTTTGCATGACCCAGTTGGTACAACTATAAGAGTAGATATAATGAGAGCTGAAACAAAACTGTGGCTTAGCCATGGATGAGAAACATTGGGCAGAGTATATGATTTGGAGAACGACAGTTAGTTGAAATTTTATTATACAGGAGGAGAACATTTTCAAATTAGAGTGTACGATAGCTTCCTAACTGAAATAGATTACCCAAAACATAAATATTTTTATGAAACTCCATCTCAATGTATAGAGGAAGCATGACATGAACTTGTATATGGTGCTTTTGGTGATATATTGGTTGATGAAATTGAGGATAACAAGTTTCATTTTTCATTTCAGAAATGTGTTTCTGTATTTCAGCGCAAGAACTTCTATGTAAGTTGTTTATGTTAGTTTGCAAGATGTTTTAGCATGAAAATATGTTAGTGTTAATGTTATTGTATTGAGGAGTAGGTTAATTTTTTGTGGACAGGTTTTGCCAACCAATTTTTGTTCTGAATCTTTAGCTCATAAGCAACAAAAGGTCACACGTCTGTTTATGATGATTCACATCAGAAAAACTACAACACAACATTTGTACTTATTCCTCCCATAAGTAGCATCAAAGGCAACAACATCTCCAAAGATGTCAAATCAATTTGACTCATACCATCACACCAAAAAATATGTAATAACCTCTCATTAGAATCAACCTTATGACCCCAATACAACTTCGGATCCTTAAAGCACAAGCCTATTAAGAATTTTTCTGCCTCTTTAACATCTCCATCTTGTCCTCTTCTATCTCTCTCAATCTGATTATACATATCTTTTTTGTAAAACCCAACCATGTCATAACTTCCTCTTTTGTTAACAAACAAGTTATATATTTTGCTGGTTGCAGTACCACTCTTCCTCATTCTCCGCATTTGTTCAACATCACCATGATCCATTTTGTGATGTAACCTTAACATTCCAAAATAGTTCTCATCAACCAAATTATAATCACAATCATCAAAGAATCAACAAACTACCCAGCACCCTTTATCTACATCTAAACGTATCTTCATCTCAGTCTCACAACCAATCTATTTACTATATTACTTATATTTATATCACTTCATCAACCAAACTTAAAAATTATTCTTAATTAATGTAAAAAGTCTTTTTCATACTAGTGTTACTCCTCAATTTTAAAAGTTTTATCTCTTTATTTTATTTTTATGAAATAATTTTAAAAATTATTTTTTGATTGACTACTATTTTATGATAAAATATAATAATTTATTTTAAGTGTTATAATTTTTTCTTAATAATATGATATATTTATATGGTATATAATTCTTAAATTATATTTATAACTTTACCAAATTTTAAAGATGTTCTTATAATGTACAAAAAAATTAATTAGTTTGAAAACTATCCTTGATTGTCTCTTTTTAATTTTTCTGGCTATCATCATGATATTATTATTATGATTATAACTTTTTTTTTTGTTTAGATATTTATCATAAAAAAAAATCCTAGACAATAAGCTTTGGGTTATAAAGCAATATTGAGATTAATTTTTTTTTACTTTTAAGTTGAGAGTGTTGACATAAGTAAGTCACATAAAAAAACTTTTGTTTCTTAATTTTATATTATTTTATTTAAATAACTAGAGAGGAAGTTTCAAAAATTTTGAAAAAATATAAATGTATTGCACTCCATTGATTAAAAGTTCTTATCTATGTTCATCAAAATTATTAGTCTAAAACTTAACTAAATATCAAATGAATTTTCTAGTACTCTACGATTACAAAACCTCCGGTGCAATGTTGACTTCATCATTCTATTTTTTTGTGGCGGGTAATAGATGATTTTAGAAGTCTTATAAATTGTTACATTATTTTATATAAAATATAAATGACTTATGATCTAGGTTTTTTTTATTTTTTTATGTTTTTTAAAAAATAATTTCGTAAAATAATATTTTTTTAAAACATATTTTTTAGTTTTTTTTTGCTGTCAATACGTTTACCGTACAAATGAAATTATTTTTTTTATTTTTTAATTAAGTTTTGTCTTTAGTAGTGACGAAACTACATAATTGTACCACGTGTCTTTATCTAATAAATTGTCTGTTACATAGACGAAACTCACTAAAGTGCGCCACGTGTCATGCTAATCCAATGGTAAAAACTTAATTCAAAGGAGAGAGAATGAGTGCACTTGGAAAAACATAATTATTGTTAATTAATAATAATGGTTTTCATATTTAATATTATTAAAGTAATTTATTTGTTCAAAAATGATTAATGCTTTTTACCTATTTCCCATGTGCATCTATTTAGCTTTATTTAATATATTTTCATGTTTAAATAGTCAAAAATTAAATCTAATCATACAAATTACAAGAAGAGCAATAATGACATAAATGAATACTATGTAGAAAGAGAGAATAAAAAAATTAATCATAATTATGTTTTTTAAATGCACTTATTCTCTCTCTTCTGAATTAATAATAGTTGTTATCTTTCCAATAGCATTTATTTTAGTTGTTGTTGCTCTTCTTATAACTTATATGATTAGATTTAATTTTTGACTACTTAAATTTAAAAACACGTCGAACAAAGCAGAATGAGTGCATATGAAAAATGAGTAAAAAATATTAATTGTTTTTGAACAAATAAATTAATTTAATAATATTAAATGTGAAAACGACTATTATTAAGTAATAGTAGTAATATTTTATGAATGCATTCATTCTCTCTCTTTTAAATTAAATTTTTATAGTTGGATTAGCATGACATGTGGCACAATTCTGCGAGTTTCATCTATGTAATAAACAAAATTTATCAGATGACACATAATATAATCGTGTAATTT